AACAAAGGCAAGGGGCTCAAATCTAACATCGCGTTTGTTATGTTCGACTCACAGTCAAATGCAAATTTTCACCGGTCGATGCAGAGGTCGATGAGTTTCATGAAATCGGACAAGAACACTGTAATTTTCAAAGCACAGACAGTTGTTGGTGACGCAACGTCGCCTCAACTTATCGCCATGCTAACGGGTAAAAGAATTACTGACCTGCCTGAAGCGAGAAGAAATATAAAAGGAGCAGGCTATATTGACGATTGGCCTTTCATATTTAAAGATCTTCACCAAAACGGATATATCACTCAGTTTGCAGAGGACGACCCCTCAATAGGGGCATTCAACTTACGGTTTTGGGGCTTTTTACAGTCCCCTACGGTTCATTACGGCAGACCATATTGGATTGATGCGATGCCACACTGCATTGGCTACCTTGACACGCAATTTTGCATAGGAGATCGCTCTCTTCATCGAATTAATATGGACTACATGATGAGCTTGTACAAGACACACCCAGGGAAAAGAAAATTCACCTTGATCATGACTTCAAAACTCGTCCACGATAATTTCTTTTCGGTTCAACGAGCAGATGGGGATGTAGTTCAACTTCTGTCACAAACAAAAGGACGAGGTCTCCTAAACGATACGATCCTAGTAGTTCTAGGGGACCACGGTGCCCGTTATGGACCTTTGCGTGAAACGATTCAAGGCAAAATCGAAGAACGGTTGCCATTTCTTAGTATTACTCTCCCGGAAAGGATAGCAAAAGAGTACCCTGACCTGCTGGTAAACATGAAACGCAATAGCCATTTGCTTACGTCACACTTTGATATATACGCCACTCTTAAGCACATCCTGAGCTACCCTTCCTTACCAACCGACATCAAATTTGGAAACAGTTTATTCACGCATTTGAACGCTTCTCGGTCATGTGAAGAAATTGGCGTCCCTGAATTATGGTGTCCTTGTCTAACATTTGAAGAGGTGAGTGTATCCGACCCTATCGCAACCAAAGTAGCAACCAAAGCTGTTGACTATATGAACGATCTCATTGGCCAAGACGAAAATCTAGTAAAAATGTGCGCACGGCTTGAGTTGGACCGGATAACACACATAGGCAAAAAGATACCAAACAAACGCATTCAAAGATACTATTATTCTGATTCGGACGAAAAATGCGCAACTTGCAAAATAGTTGAATGGCACAAGGATGTTTTCAAGGACATACTTTATGAAGTTTCATTCATAACGAAGCCAGGTGGTGGTAAGTTTGAGGCGATTGTCCTTGATTTTGGAGATGGGACCATGAAAGTCAAAAGTGACATTAGTAGGATTAACAAATATGGCACACAGGCAAGATGTGTCGAGAAAACCTATCCTCATGTTCGAAAGTATTGCTTTTGTAAATGAGTTAAAGGGATATCGCAATTTAGGTTTTGAAAATGGCTTTGAAAAAAGCAAACATTTTATATCATATTAAAAGATAAGCTTTTTCGTCTCACACTACTCGGAGTAGAAAACTTCAGAATAAAGGCTCTTATTCTAAAGAGGAGTGTCAGACGAAAAAGCTTTAAGTATGATGTAGAATGTTTGCTTTTCAAAGCCATAATCACTTTTTGTACCCCAAAAAAGGTTGTTCAGATTTAGACTTTGACAATTCACAATTTCAAGTATTTTATAATCCATACTATAAGTCGTATTACAAAGACTGCAATATGACTAGAAAATAATGAAATACAATTTTTTAGTATAGTTTAATTTTCAGCAATTTATTTGGTACCTGCTAAAGCTGTGGCTAAAGAAAATATTTAGAAAAAGATTAATTGAAATTATTATTTTGATATTTTAGTATTTATATAATCAGTGCAACAAAATAAAGCGAAATAAAGTTGAGATTTTTTTGAGTAGATTCAATCAGTTCTTTGTAAAAGTACTCTACCATATTTTAGAAAGCGGCTTATAAGTCTAATGTCTCTTTAAACCTAATAAAGTCAAATAGTTTTTTTTTAAATTAAACTCTTCTACAAAGGGATAAAAGGCTAATAGGATTTGAAAGCTATAAAAAGTGTAGCATCCATGTTTACGGGCTTCAAACATTAATAAACAAATGATCTCCACAAATTCAATAAATTTACAAATCCTTTTGCAAAAATTTGCAAAAACTTTGCCCAGTAGCGGCGCGTCCCCCCCCCCCTCCCCCCCCCAAATTCTCGGCAAAATCAATTTTGCATTTCGTCCATTTGCAACGTACTTTTTGCGATGTAATCCTATGGTTTCAAACTGCCTTTCGAAAGCCAAAAGTGAGTCATGGGCGTTCCCTTCAGGTAGAAATTGCGTTACTTGTTAGTAAAAGGGCGTTTTCTGGTGCTAAAAGGGGCGTTGTCTAAAATATTTTGTTCACCCCCCCCTCCCCGCAGAGCGTATTGGCTGGCGCCGCCAAAACATAAGAAAGTAAATTATGCGTTATGAGCACTTCTAGATAACAGAAATATATTTAGAAACTTCAAGTTGTCTTTTCACTTTCATCTGAATCATGAAAGAGCAACGAGAATAGCTCATGATGATTATGAATCAACTTTTGAACAACTTTTAACAAAGAATAAAACAATAACTTCTCATAAGAAAAATTTACAATATCTTGCGATAGAAATTTATGAAACATTTAACGGGTTGAATCCACCTTTTATGGTTGAAATATTTTCTATAAATGAATGCTCATATTACTTGAGGAACTTACAATTCAAAACAGCGGAGCCGCATTACAAAATATATGGATTCAATACCGTATCATACAGATGTAGCCAATTATGGAACTCAGTTCCAAACGAGATATGTATTCCTCTACTTACAAATAT